CGCTGATCTCAAACCCGCAGGCTCAGGCAATCCACTCACCTTAGCCTCCCAAGGTGCGGGATTACAGGCTGAGCCACTGAGCCCGGTTTGTTAAAAGTCTTAAGTCAGTACTTGTGAAGTATTTGGAAACCGTACTATAACCAGGCACTACTCCAAGTATTATCCTCATAAATTTTCTTTGAATTGAATTTTGAATCCTTTTTATGGTGTGGTTGAAAGTTCTAAAACCAGGTTCTGATATACTGAAAGCCATATCACCCACATGACACATGTTCAGCTCAACAATGACCAAAGCCCCAAGTTGTAAATATTGCTGCTCTGAGGCACCTATTCCCTGATTTTAAATTTCTGTCGTCATTTACTCACAATCTATATAAGAACAGAGGTAACTTATGGCACGAGTCATGTAGTTTTGGAATGAGAATATAAATTATCTGATATTTTAAAAAGATTCATATTAACCAAGAGAAATGTTTGCCAGCCAGGTTATTCTGCTGATGATCATTTATTGAAGAAATAAGTCAATGAGTTTGATCCTAATCATTGGTCTTCTCCAGCACCAGAATGCACCTCTGAAGGGGATGTACTTGAAAAGGCAACCATTGTGTTTCACTTGGCTATCTGGAGACTTAGTAAGTTTTCTAATTCTTCATGGTAAATTCAAGAGTTTTCCTGAAAGATAAGTATCCGCTTAGAGAAATCAAATTTGGGGAAATGAAGGGAAAAGCTATCATATTGGTAAACACACCCATAGTCTGGCAGGAGGAATGCTAAACAATTATTCTCCGAATGAAGGCAGACTAGAGACATCCCAATTTCATTAAAGAAGAAAAAAGCAGAGTTGAAATGAGCAGAGAATTATGTAGGAGTGAATGATATGATGTCTGAGACTTGTGTTAATAAATTTCATTTAAAAAATAAGAGAATAGAGGAAGAAAATATAGAAAAACATTGCAGTTTGTTGAATCTGTATGATAGGTGTATGGGATTTATTATATTATTGTCTCTACTTTTAAGTATGTTTGAAATTTTTCATAACAAAACACTTAAATCCCTCTACAATAGTGAGCTCCTAATTATATCTGGTTTACTTCTAAAAAAAAAAAAGTAACTTTACTTACACATGGTCCATCACGTAGTTTAGTTACGTTAAGCCCTTCATATCTGAAAAAAAATATTTTGAAATGATTATTTTTGCTCTGTGGTATATATATATATATATTTTTTTTTTTTTTTTTTTTTTTTTTTTGAGTTGGAGTCTCACTTTGTCATCCAGGCTGGAGTGCAGTGGCACGCTCCCGACCACTGCAGCCTCGACCTGCTGGGCTCTGGCGATCCTTCTGCCTCAGCCTTCCAAGTAGCTGGAACTGCAGGTATGCGCTACCACACCTGGCTAGTTTTTTGATTTATTATAGAGACAAGGTCTCACCAAGTTGCCTGGGTGGGTCTCGAACCTGCAGGCTCAGGCAATCCTCTTGCCTCGGCCTCCCAAAGTGCTGGGATTACAGGCTGAGCCACTGAGCCCGGCTGCTCTGTGGTATATTACAAATTATTATTAACAATCTTTGGCTAAGTTTGAGAAGGAAACATTCTGTTAATATTAAATTCTCATTTAGCAAATATTTTAAAATACTATATGGATCTTTGTCAAATAAATTAAATATATAAAACATGCTCAGTCTGAAATAAAATATAGAGATTCAAAATAGCCTTTGAAGATTCAAGTAGAAATACAGATAATTAGAGAATGTGCCTTAAAGTTAAAATATGCATTTGGTGAAAGTTGAGGCATTACTACTGACCTTATAGAAATGCAAAAGATTATAAGGGAATACTATGAACAATTGAACATCAACAAATTAACCTGAGCCCACGGGTTCTACACCAGCCTGGGCAACTTGACGAGATCTTGTCTCTACAATTAAACAAACAAACCAAAAAACTAGCTGAGTGTGGTGGTGCACACCTGTAGTTCCAGCTACTTGGAAGGCCAAGGCAGAAGGATTGCCTGAACCCAGTAGGTCGAGGCTCTGGTAGCTATTATCATGCCACTGCACTCCAGTCTGGGCAACAGAGTGAGACTCCAACTCAAAAAACAAACAGATAACCTATGTGAAATGGACAAATTCCTAGAAACATAGCATGCTCATGGTCACCCTAGCGTCGACGTGCTGAGTCCTTCCACCTCAGCAAATTATAAAAATTTACTCAAGAAGAAATAAAAAATCTCAACAGAGCTGTAACAAGTAAATCTATTAGTAAAAAAAAAAAAAAATTTCCCAACAAAGAAATAGTCAAAGCCAGATGATTTCATTTGTGAATTCTACCAAATATGTTTAAAATATGTGTTACTAATCTTTTTCAAACTCTTTCAAATAATAGGAGAGGATGCTTTTTAACTAAAAGGAAGCCAGAATTACCATGATATGAAAAGCAGTAACGATTTCTCAAAAAAGAAAACTACAGACTAATATTCCTTATGAATATGAATGTAAAAATTCTCAACAAAATACTAACAAACTGAATCCAACAGCATATTAAAAAGATTGTACACCATGAACAAGTGGGATTTATCCCAATAATTCACAGCAGTTAAACCTAAAAAAAGTCAACAAATTTAAGAACACCACATTAATAGAATGAAAGAAAAAAGTCACATGATAATCTTAATTAATGCAAAATACACATGCAATATTCAACAAAACCCAATATCTTTCATAATTATAACACTCAGGAAACTAGGAATAGAACATCCTCAATATGATAAAAAATACTTATGAAGAACCCCCAGCTAATATCATACTCAGTGGTGAAAGGTGGAAAGATTTGTCTCTAAGATCAGGAACAAGACAAGGATCCCTGCTTTTACCATTGATATTTAATACTGCATGGGCAATTTAAGCCATAGCAATTAGGCACTACAAAGAAACAAAATGCATTTAAATTGGAAAGGAATTAGTAAAAGTATCTCTATTCAAAAATGACATGATCCTATATATATAGAAAACCCCAAATAATTACTATAAAAGTGACTAAAGCTAATCAAGTCATCAAAGTTGCAGAGTAGAATATTAACACACAAAAATCAGTTGTGTTTTTTTAAATCAGCAATGAACAATTTGAAAATAAAATTAAGAAATCAATTTTTTTTACAATAGCATCTGAAAAATAAAATGCTTAGTAATAAATTTAACCAGGAGATGAAAGACTTGTACACTAACAACTATAAAACAGTGCAGAAATAAATTAAAGACCTACATTTTAAAAAAAACTTGCAGCAATCCAAGGAGCATTTGTTCAAGAAAAAAAATGGCTGAATCTCAGTAAGAACAGTGAACTTTGTGGCATTTTAATTTGTCCTATTTTCCTCTGTCTCCCAGTTCCATGGTATTACTGAAAAACAACAACCCATAATCATGGTGAAAACCAGCAGCATGGCAGCACCTGGAGGGAACAGATTGGTGCTCCTTCAAAGCACTATTGCTAGATAATTGTCATTATTTGGCCTGTCTGGTGGTTCTCTGGAAGATCCAATTGCAAGACTGTATTTGACCTGACTCAAAGCTCCTCAAACAGCCTTTTCCCTGGGAGAACTTGTTGAAAACAATCAGAGGCAATTGTTGAATATCATGGCTGCCACATGGTGGACAACAATAGGCTAACCAAAGGTTTAAAAGTAAAAGAGAATGAGCTGTCAATAGGAGGTTTTGAAAAACTTTAACATTACTGGAAATATAGAAAGTCTTACACATGTGTAGGTAGGGCTATCTGCATGCTCGGAAAGGACCTGAGAGGGCCCTAAGCTCTCATCTCTCATCTTTGGCTAATCTTGAGCATATGTCCATGCATAAAGTGAACATTAAGTGTAGTTTTAAACTGCCTGGCTGAGTGTTGAGGGCATGACTCAACACACACACACACACACACACACACACACACACACACACACACACACACACACACACATTTGTTTGCAAAGACTGGGAGATTTATTGGTTTTAGCTATTTAATGCAGACTTCATAGAATCATTTAATGCTTGATCCCAGGAGTTTGAGATCAGCCTTGGCAACATAGCAAGACCCTGTCTCTTTTTGTTTTGTTTTGTTTTGTTTTCTTTTTTGAGTCAGAGTCTTACTCTGTTGCCCAGACTGGAGTGCACTGGCATGAGCATGGCCCCTGTAGCCTTGACCTGCTGGGCTCAGGCGATTCTTCCACCTCAGCCTTCCAGGTAACTAGAACCACAGGCATGTGTTACCATGCCCAGCTAATTTTTTTTTTTGACTTGGAATCTCACTCTGTCACCCAGACTGAAGTGCAGTGGCACGCTCCCAGTCACCGCAGCCTCGACCTGCTGGGCTCCGATGATCCTTCCGCCTCAGCCTTCCAAGTAGCTGGAACTACAGGCGCATGCTACCACGCCCAGCTAATTTTTTGATTTATTGTAGAAATGAGGTCTCGCCAAGTTGCCCAGGTGGGTCTTGAACCCGCGGGCTCAGGCAATTCACTCACCTCAGCCTCCCAAAGCGCGGGATTACTGGCTTAGCCACCAAGCCTGGCTTAATTTTTTTTTTAAATTGTAGAGATGAGGTCTCGCCAAGCTGCCTAGGCTGGTCTCAAACCCCTGGACTCAGGTAATCCTCTTATTTCCACCTCCCAAAGTGCTGGGATTACAGATGTGAGCCACTATGCCTGGCTGACCCTGTCTCTAAAAAAAAAAAATTCCAGAAATCTCTAAACTAACCAATAGCAACAACAGCAAATAGCAATAGCAAAAAACCTTGGAGAGAGGAGAGAATCTGATGTCTAGAATTGCCACATATTTTTAAAAATATTTGATTTTCAACAAAAAATTGTGACACAAAAAAGAAAGTATGGCTCATATACAAGACAAAAAGCAATAGAATCTGTCACTGAGGAAGCCCAGATGTTGAACTTACAAGACAAATATTTTATTTATTTATTTATGTGTTTATGTAATTAGTTATGTTTTGTCTTTTGAGTCAGGGTCTCACACTGTTGCCCAAGTTGGAGTGCAGTGGCACAATCATGGCTCACCGCAGCCTCGATCTCCTGGGCTCAGGTTGTCCTTCCACCTCAGTCTCCCAAGTACCTGGGACTACAGGTGCACACCTCCATGTCCAGCTAATTTTAAATTTTTTTTATAGAGATGAGGTCTCACTATGTTGCCTAGGCTGGTCTTGAACTTCTGAGCTCAAGAAATTCTTCCGCTTTGATCTCCCAAAATGTTGGGGTTACAGACACGAGCCACTGTGCCCAGCACAAGGCAAAATATTTATTTTTATTTTATTTTATTTTTTGAATTGGAATCTTACTCTGTTGCCCAGGCTAGAGTACAGTGGCACGCCCACAGTCACTGTAGCCTCGACCTGCTGGGCTCAGGCAATCCTTCCCCTCAGCCTTCTAAGTAGCTGAAACTACAGGCACACGCTACCATGCCCAGGCTGGTCTCGAACCCCTGAGCTCAGGCAATTCTCTCACTTTGGCCTCCCAAAGTGCTGCGATTACAGACTTGAGCCACTGCACCTGGCCTAGGCAAAATATTTAAAATCAGCTATTTTAACTATGTTTAAAGAACTAAAAAAAAAAAAAACCATGTCTAAAGAACTAAAGATAAGTATGAGAATGATGTCTCATCAAATAGAGAATATCAATAAAAAGATAGAAATTATATTTTTTAAACCTGAATAGAAATTCTGAAGTTAAAAAGTACAGTGTGGATTGCCTGAGCCCAAGGGTTCAAGACCAGTCAGGCAACTTGGCAAGACCTTGTCTCTACAATAGATACAAAATTAACTGGGTGTGGCAGCACACGGCTGTAGTTCTGGCTACTTGGAAGGCTGAGGCGGAAGGATCGCTGGAGCCCAGCAGGTCGAGGATGCGGTGACCGTGAGTGTGCTACTGCACTCCAGCCTGGGCGACCCAGTGAAACTCCAACTGAAAAAAAAAAAAAGAAGTACAATGATCTGAACTGAAAAATTAATTCACTAAAAGGGGCTCAATATAAGATTTGAACAAACAGAAGAAAGAGTCAAGTGAGTTTGGAGATATAATTAATATTGTCCAGTCTGAGGAAGATGAAGAAAAATAATAATAAAGAAAAATGAAGAGTGAGTTGAAATGCCTCAGATAGCAAATAAAATATAACCCAAATTGGACCAAAAAATGAGCAGAGCCACAGAGAAATGATGAATACTATCAAGATTATCCACATATACATAAAGAGAGTTCCTTCAAGAAGAGCAGGAAGAGAAAAGGCAAAAGAATATTTGAAGAAATAATGGCTGAAAATTTCCCAAATTTGATGAAAAATATTAATCTGTGTATCCAGGTAAACAACAAACTCAAAATAAGATAAACTCTAATAGATCCACACATAGACAAATCATTATAAAACTTCCAAAAGACAAAGACAATCGTATTTGGTTTGTTTATTTTTTGAGTCAGCGTCTCAGTCTAATGCCCAGGCTGAAGTGCAGTGGCATGCTCATGGCCACTGCAGCCTCAACCTGCTGGGCTCAGGTAATCACAGGAGCCACAGATGTGCACCACTACTCTCAGCGAATTCTATTCTCCTTGGACCAAAGAATCGGGTATTTCATATGAGTGTCACACAAAGCTTTTAACATGTAATGAGCCCAAAGACTAAATCACACACTAGGCTGAAAGCTAAAGAAGTTGTTTTAGAAAATAATATTTATTTGAGGACCAATAAATCAATAATTCTTCACCCAGCTTCCTCTTTCTCATCTTCATTAGGTTTTTGTTCTTTGGCCTCAGGGTGCTTGAGTATGACCCTCATCTATGGTCACATGATCTAAATGCTGTGGCTGCTTGCCAGAGGTCCCTCCACTTGACCTTTGTCCAGGCCAGATACAGTCCCCTCACTTCAGTGGATTTCTGTTTCTGCATTGTCTGAATAGAATTACATGTACCTTTTTCAAGCACAGAGATGGACAGAAGAAATGGAGGAGCAAACAGTGACGGTGTTTCTGGAGGGAAAATCTAACAGAACGATGTGGGAAGTGGGCTGAAAGGCCCTAGTTTGACCACTTTTCGCCTCCTGACTTGAAAGAAGTTGAAAATAAAATCATGACTTACATAATTTTGGCACAGAGGTGGCACTCACCACTGTAGGTAACCTGGTCACTGCCACATATGGGTTCACTGGGCTTGATGTAGGAGAGAAGCCAGCACTTATTTATATTCTTGATGCACTCAACCTAAAGATGAGACACAACTGTTTCAGATGCTTTCCTCCAGGTCCTTTGGCCATTGTCGCTGATAGGAGGGGAGGGTGATAGAATTAGGAGCGCTGGACCAGGATTTAGAGATCAGGCTTCAGATGCCTCAGTGTTTGACTCCAGTACTTAATAATTATAATGTTATATGTAGTCTATGCAGTCCCAAGTCCCCCATACATTCCTTATTAATCTAAAAAGTCCCTGCCTCGCCAACCACAAAACGTGATTATTAGGTTACATTGAGCAGAAGTAGGGATAGATCTTTCAATGTTAAATTTTCTTGTGAATGACACTGAGTGACTTATCACACATGGTGCCTCAGATGGCTGTGGGCTCAAACTTGTCACAGTGGGGTAGGGATGTAGAAGAAAGGAAACAGAATATCTCATAGGACCTTGGTGTGAGGGAGGCAGGACATGTCCTGGCATATCATAATGGAAAGAGTATTCACTGCAGCATAGGACTGACCTGAATTTGTGCCACAACAATTATATGAGCTGATTGGGATAATGCTTGGGAAGAGAGCTCAGTAACATATAAAATGTGGCACACATAGTTAGTGACTCAGCTTTTATTGCTGTGTTGTTTCTATGTAAGTTCCCTCTGTTCTCTACCTCCCAGGAGGAAGAGGAGGCTATCAGGGAAACTCCCTCCTACTTCCTGTTCTTGGAAACCAAGGAAGCAGAGTTCACCTTTATCTCCTCCAGGTGAGCTCCTTTGGAGGTTGTAGGAAGGGGGATATCTGGAAGACAAAAGCACATACAGAAGAGTTGCTGTCTTTCTTCTGCCCTCAGGGAAAAAGCTAGAATGAGGGAGTCCCTGTATGACTCACAGGAAGCATCAGATCCCATCAGAGGAGGCTGAATTCTTCATTTCTTTATATTTAAAATATTTATTTTCGAGTTGGAGTCTCACTCGGTTACCCAGGCTGGAGGGCCGTGGCACACTCACAGCCTCACCAGCATCAATCCGCTGAGCTCTGGTGATCCTTCCTCTTCAGCCTTCCAAGTAGCCAGAACTACAAGTGCGTGCTACCACACCCAGCTAATTTTTTCTTTATTTATGGTAGAGACGTGGTCTCACCAAATTGCCTGGGCTGGTCTTGAACCTGCGGACTCAGACAGACCACTCACCTCAGCCTCCCAAAGTGCTGGGATTACAGGCTGGGCCACTGAGCCTGGCCTTAAAAATTTTTAGATTTAGGAGGTCTAAGTGCGTGTTTATTACATAGGTATTTGTGTACTGGTGGGAATTGGGCTTCTGGTGTCCTTGTTTGCAAATAGTGAACACTGTGAAACGATAGGTAATGTTTAAACCCTCCCCCCACCATACTTCCCTTTTTGGTGTCCTCTGCATCTATTATTTCCATCTGTATGTCCTTGATTACCCATTGTTTAGCTTCTACTTGCAGTATTTAGTTTTCTGTTTCTGAGTTAGTTCACTTAGGATAATGGCCTCCAGCTCCTTCCATGGTGCTGCAAAGGACATCATTTCATTCTTGTTTATGGCTGCATAGAGATGGACAGAAGAAATGGAGGGGTATGTGTGTGTGTGTGTGTATGTGTGTGTGTGTGTGTGAGTGTGTGTGTGTGTGTGTCTCACATTTTCTTTATCCAATCAATCACACTGATTGACACTTAGGTTGGTTCCATGGCTTTGATGCAAACTGCCCTCTAAACAAGTGAAGAATCAGGAAACACCTGCCTCTCACCCTCTTGTAAAATGGAGATAATTAATTCTGATTCTTCCACTTCATGAGTAAAGAATAACTTCTATAATCCTTTCTCAGTTATTTTTAGTAAACATGCTCATAGTTATAAATTACTATGAAATCATTATATTGAGATACCTTAAAAGATGGTAAGTTTCAGCCAGGCTTGGTGGCTCAGCCTGTAATCCCAGCACTTCGGGAGGCCGGGGCAAGTGGATTGCCTGAGCCCACAGGTTCAAGACCAGCCCGGGTAACTTGGCAAGACCTCGTCTCTACAATAAAATAAAAAATTAGCCGAGCATGGTAGCATGTGCCTGTAGTTCCGGCTACTTGGAAGGCTGAGGCGGAAGGCTCGCTGGAGCCCAGCAGGATGACGCTGGGGTGGCTGTGAGCATGCCACTGCACTCTAGCTGGGGTAATAGAATGAGACTCCAACTCAAAAAAAAAAAAAAAAAAAAGATAAGTTTCATTAGTCTTACATATTTAATCCAAAGCAGTCTTTGCAATTATACATATATATAAAATTTTATCTCATATAAATATATAATAATTATATATTGAAATCACACCCTATAATTTTTATAATATATAATGTGGACAGTATGTAATCAATTATTTTATATATATCAGCTTTATTGAAATATAATTAAAATATCATAGAATTCACCCGTATTTGCCATCACATCGAAGATGAGGGCTTAACAAAAGAAAAATAAGAATTCACCTATTTATTTATTTCTGAGTTGGGAGTGCAGTGGCATAGTCATTGCTCATCATAGCCTTGACCTCCTGGGCTCCGGCAATCCTTCCGCCTCAGCCTCCCAAGTAGCTGGAACTACAGGCACATACTACCACACCCGGCTAATTTTTTGACTTTTGGTAAAGACAAGATCTGGCTATGTTGCTTAGGCTGGTCTCAAACTCCTGGGCTCAAGCAATCCTCTCACCTCGGCCTCCCAAAGAGCTGGGATTATAGGCTTGAGCCTACTGTGCCTGGCCAGAATTCACCTATTTAAAGTGTACATACAGTTCAATGGTTTTTAGTATATTTACAGATTTATTCAGCCATCATCACAAGCATTTTTTTCTTTTCTTTTCTTTCTTTCTTTTTTTTTTTTTTACCACAAGCAGTTTTAAGGCATTTTCATCATCCCCAAAAGAAACCCTGTATCCATTTGCAGTCACTTGACCCTCTTTCAACAATTCCCCCTCCCGCCCCACCCTTTACTAAGCTCCCTTGGGAGCTCAACTCCAAATAGAAGTTAGTATACTAAAAATAGATGTTTCAGTGTAGCACCAAAAATCTTTTATAAATACAGCCATTTTGGAAAGACGATTCTGGATCAAAAGTGTTATTCCTGTATATCTACATTATGTGTTCATATCTCATCTATGTCATAATTGTTTCTGTAATTTTCCTCTGAGTAGCAGTCATAACCACCCTAGTCTCTGGACTGTCTATATCCATATCCTCCAGGATGACTATCATATCTGCTGCTCCCATAGCCCTGGTCCCCACTACCTCTAGAGTAGCCACAACCACAGACCCCAAAAGCACTCTCTCTGGTTTCCCGGGCAGAGGTGACTGCATGGTCTACTTGGATCTGGTGACTGTCCTGGGACTCTCCATTCATGGCACTCATGACATCTGAGGCATGTTTGGGGTTGGTGAAGGTGATGAAACCAAAACCCTGGGATCGCTGAGTCTCCCGGTCCTTGACAGCAGCCACCTCAGAAATATGACCGAAGCTGTTGAAGTGGCCTTCCAGTGCCTGCTCATCATTGTTAAAGTTGAGCCCTCTTGGCCGGGCTCAGTGGCTCAGCCTGTAATCCCACGCTTTGGGAGGAGGAGGTGAGTGGACTGCCTGAGCCCCGGGGTTCGAGACCCGCCTGGGCAACTTGGTGAGACCTCATCTCTACAATAAATCAAAAATTAGCCGGGCATGGTAGAGCGTGACTGATGTTCCAGCTACTTGGAAGGCTGAGGCAGAAGGATCGCTGGAGCCCAGCAGGACGAGGCTGCAGTGGCCGTGCGGCCACTGCACTCCAGTCTGGGTGACATAGTGAAACTCCAACTCAAAAAAAAAAATGTTGAGCCCTCTCACAAAAAGCTTTCCTTCTTCAGAGGACATGACTGTGAGTTCAAGTCCAGAGAGTTAAAAAGAAAAAGGACCAGACAGATGGTGAGCTCTAAGGACCCGAGAGAACAGCCGAATTCATTAATTTGCATATAGATATTCAGTTGTCCCAGCAGCATTTGTTGAAGGATTATTTTCCATTGAATTGTCTTGGGGTCTTGTTAAAATCAATTCTCTCAGGCTGGGCGGGGTGGCTTATGCCTATAATCCCAGCACTTTGGGCGGCCAAGGTAAGGGGATTGCCTGAGCCCATAGGTTTGAGACCAGCCTGGGCAACTTGGCGAGACCTCATCTCTACAATAAATCAAAAAATTACCCGGGTGTGGTGGCATGTGCCTATAGTTCCAGCTACTTGGAAGGCTAAGGTGGAAGGATTGCCTGAGCCCAGCAGGTCGAGGCTACAGTGGCCATGAACATGCCACTGCACTCCAGCCTAGGTGACAGAGTGAGATTCTGACA